ACAAGAAAAACTAAGTAGCATGTAATGTGCAAAAAGAACATGCAATCTCTTTAAAATCATATAACACTGGCCTCCTGCCAGTGGCAAAAGAAAAACTATTTGCAGAAACACTTTAATGTATTTCTGAAAAAAGAACACACTTCTCAAGCTATCGCTGTAAAAGTTACTCATTGAGAACCATCCATCTGTGTCTGAAGTTAATAGTTCCTTTTGCAATGATGGCGAGTATCTTCCATCAGTTGTGCTTTCACAAATCATTAAGCAACCAATGCTTTATAAAATGAAAAGTCAGAAGAAAACATATCGAGTAAACAGACTCCACTTGGAAAATGTCCATGGTGGTGCTGTGCTTCAGACCAGGTTTAAATCTATATACATCAACCTATGCTTCCACTGCTTATGTTAGACCACTGAAGATTTGTGGTTGACCTACATATGCAAACAAAACATTTGCTGCACACTTGGGGCAGGGGGATTTACATGATAGAAGATGATGAAAATATGCATAATTGTGGATGACATTTTTCATTCCCGAGTCCTGCTGCACAGAGCTTTGGAACTGGCCATGCATGAAAGAGGCTTGCAACCCTAACAGGCAGGCTGCCTGGCCATGCTGCTGAGCTGAACCTTCAAGACATTAAGCTTCTGTTTCTTCTTGAGCAACACAAATCTGACACAACCATCTAACCCAGCAGACCCTGTATTTGCAAAGGACACGTATGACACTGAGGGGGCTGAAACAAGGACAGTTCCACACGTCAGGAACCAGTTGGTGCCCCCGGGCTTGCTTGTTTAAACAAAGATGTTAGTTTATCACCTAGTGATCACAAGTGATAGTTATCTGATGTAAAGCAAACAAGAGGCACTGCAGGTCAAAACACAGGCATGAACTACTTCAACTTTAGTTTGCTAAATCACTTACACAGAAAAGTTCAGATTTGGCAACAGTTGGGGTTTCTGATTTGTTCCTATTTTTCCAGTTAAATGGAAGCTCAAGATCAATTCATTTAAATGAAGGTTGGGCAGCCACATACTGGGGAACGTAACTCTTTACCTCCCCTTGCTTCCAGATCTTTTTTTCACTAGGGGACAGCACAGCTTCCTAGAACAGGAGGAGAAACATGTACAGAACCCTCTGACTTTGCAGTAGCTTCATATGACAACATTTCATGGTTGTGGAGATCTCATGACATGCTGTTCCCCTAAGTCTGCATCTTAACTTTTGATCACTGATTGTCTTAAGATACCAAAAAAACCTAACAGATTTTGTTCTCTTCTAGTACTGCTTAATTTTCCTTCCTAGAGTAAAGCAATTGTAAGGGAAGCAGAATGTGTCTGAAATTCTGGAAATCCTGAAGAATGGCAAGTGGATTCAGCTGCTAAGTCTCAAAGGGACATCCACTGGCACACTGCAAAGCTGCTAGCATGACAGCACACTGGAGGCTTTACTCTACGAATTGCACCAGCACAAATAAGTATTAATAACATTGATAAAGTTGCATGACAAAACCAGATCTGCTAAGGTAGTAAGCATGCACACATCTCTCAGATATTGAATGTATGATACGGAAGTGATTTCCTGTAACAGAGGTTTTGTCTGCTGTTACTGGATGTCTGTCTCATCATTCTTGCTATGTCACATCTTATTTGTCACTCAAAATCTTTGCAGCTCTGCTGTGCTGAAATAAGTGCAGAAAGGGGGAAAATTCCTTGGCATCAAGACCAGATCTCCTCTGGAAAGCACGCACCGCCTCTGCAACTCCTTTATCTGAGTTGTGAAGGTGGGTTTGGAAGAAACCTGACAGCATCAGATGGAGCAACAGGTACCTTTCCTGCAAGCCAACTGACAAAATTATTAAAGAACAGCTTGTATATAATACCCACTGTCCAATTTACACCACATTCAAGGTCTGTAAAATACACATCTGTGTAAGAGGGATTTCCATGCAGAGTAAATGTCAATGCAGTCACAAATGTGCATCCACGTGAGAGAAAGAGAAGAAATCTCGGTAGCCTGCGCCTGAAAAAGCAAGCTGATACAAACCTGTTCTCTGCAAAAACACTTGAAGCTATGTGCCAAGAAGCTGTCTTTGGTGCTTCACTCCTACTGTGTTCAGAGAAATGGGACTTTCTATGTGTGTTCTGCACATCAAAGGAATAACTAGCACAGTCCCTCCATCTGATGCAAACACCCACTATGAAGTTTGGCTGTTTGCTTCAAGAGGGGATAATGCTGGTGGGGGTTTATACTAAATCCATGATGATGTACTGTGAAACTCTTTAATTCCACATATTTGGCCAGTTTTATTATCCAAAAGAAAAGGCAGCTTTCTCACCTGCAGTGGAGTCCAAGCATTTTCTTTGTCTAACAAGCAAACTGGAAAGTTAACAGCTTTTTAAGTTCAGCAGCCTTCAAACTCAATTCTCAAACACAGATCCAAACCATTAACCTTAGAAGAGCTAAGCCCTATGAAAAGTTCATGGAAGTTAATGAACATGGAATATTAAACACTTCCATTCAATTGTGATCTAACACGGTCTGGCACTGCAAGCTTTATTAAATCACAGTTGCCTTCTTTTTCTCAGGATTCCCATGAGATGTTCCTTTCCCCCTACCCAAAGGATTTTATAATCTGTGGGATACTGGAGAGCACCAGAGTAAAAATAAAAAGACCATTCTTGTTATTTCATCTGTCCTTTCTATGAGATTAAAAAATGTAACTACCCAAAGCAGAGCCCTTATGCTCCCACTTATATAGGAATGCTCTTGTGGGAATGGGAGGGTAACGAGGAGAAACTCTGAGCAGCTCAGCACCTGACAGGTTCATGCATGCCCCAGTTAAAATGCAGTATTGCGGAATCAATGGAGAGACTCACCAGTAGTGGCTGTGTTGGGGTTTTTACCCTCACTAGTTGAGCTTTGCTGGCGTTAGCATCAAAGGAAGTGCAAGGATAGGCTGACTGGGTGGCATCTCCTTCTCTTTGGGCTCAGGAGAACCAAAGACCCAAATCTTGCTCAGTCAGTCCAAGGACATTTGCACACAAAATCTAGGTTATTCATTCAGGTCAACAGATACTTTTAAATGAAGATTCGTACAAGATAACAAAAGGAATGTTCTAAGTACATGCTAAACAGCATAAAGACCACACAAAATCACCAACAGAGAGCTAAACTGATGAATCTGCAGGCAAGATGTGTATCTAGACTAACATATTGGACAGAAACCAATGAATGTATTTACATACCTGAAACAACTCCTGTTTTGAGTTATGCTTTATAAAAGGGGTATCAGCATAAACATGGGAATATTTAAATGGAAGGTAATGCAATATTATGTATTGGAAGGAAAAAAAAAGAGAAGCCTGTCTGGAAACAAAACCTAGCAATGAGAGGAGGCTGACCACAGAACCTATCCCAGCTCAGGTGCCAGAATGAGCTGCTAATCCCACAAAGTACTTGAACATGTAGGGTCACAGCCAGTGAACCAAGAAGAATCCTTTGGGCTTTTTTCCCTCTCATAAGTTTCTGGATTTCTGGCTCTTGCCAGTCTCCCACTGACTTCCAAGTACTCAGAGATGCCATGAAACTCAGGACAATAATCCTCCTGAGACGGAGACAGGGAGCTGTGCACTGTCTGCCTGTGGCCACAATTTTCTCTCCTGGTAATGTGAAAGCCACATAAAAGGTGGTGTCCAACAACGTTCAAGCATACAGCTAGGAGTTATTTGTGTGACAAAAAGTTACAACTGATCACTCAAAAGTTAAATCAGGGGAACCCAGATAGGGTCGACTGAAGCACATATAAGCTTTGGCCCCTTGGATCCTACACAACTCACATTTCGGATCATTCCTGTAAATGGCAAAGAGCATGGCCATACTAACAGTCAAAAGACAAGTCTTTGGGTCTCAACACCACCGCCGTGCATGTGCTTCATCCCTTACCTATGTCGGTGCCTGCTGAGACGAACGGCATGCTCAGGCACGGCGAGTATTCCAGAGCAGCACCTGCAAGGACTCCACACTGGGGGGGCCATGCCAATAAGATGAAGCTGGAAGAAAAGAAGACCCTGAGTGCACAGAGCACCCAAAATCCTGACAGCGTTGACCCAGACAGTGTGCATCAGCTGTGCAACAGGCTTCTGACAGACCTTACATGTGAACCGCTTGCAGAACAGTCACATGAACACTGGACATATGCAATGGGTTTAGTCAACTACTCTTGTGCAGGAGCTGTGGTGAGATCCTAGATCATGGTGTACACTGTCCTCTAACACAGAAAATGGAGCGGGTGCTGCTGACCTGATGCAGCATCACTCACACTGTCCAAAACCACAAGTAATTCGATTAAGATGTGACTCCATCCATGGCCCCTGCACCGGGAGCACAGCACTGCACCCAAGGGAACACCACCTGCTCCAGGATACACCCGGACGCTTCCCTGCTGTGTATTTACAACCGAGAACAAGGGCTTGGTACTTTCACACCCTGGGAAGTTAAGACATGGCATTGCTGCTCTGTATTAAAGCCATCAGGCCAGGACAGCCCCAGACACGCAGAGAGACAAACCCTCCACCAGCTCAACCTCAGCAGGGTGTTTCAGGCGCTCCCTGTCAAACCCACAGCGAACTTCCCCAGGCAAAACCTCCCTTGCAGGCTCTCTCCTCCCAGCGGGCCCAGCCCAATGCTGTAATCGCGGCTCCACCAGGCCCGCTCGGGGTGGCCGCTCCCCGGCAGCCGGCCCATGGCCGATCTAACACGGGTCGGCTCCGGCCCCGGCCAGGCGGGACCTTCCTCCACAGCGGCCGGGCCGCGGCTGCCGATGGGGCGGAGCTTCACCGGCCCCCCCCCGCATCACGTGAGGGAACTTCGGGCCAATGGCGGCGCGGCGAGGGCCGGGGCCCCGCTCGCACCCGCGGACGCTCATTCAAAACGCGGCCGGGCTCGGGCAGCCCCGGACCCGAACCTGCGGCCGGGGCTCGGCGGGGCAGGGGGGCGCCGCCACCGGGGATGCCCGGGGGGGCCGCGGGCTGAGGCGGCCCCCGCCCGCCCGCCGCCATGCCGGTGAAGAACCGGTACAACCTGGTGGACGATGGCTGCGACTCCCGCGTCCCGCTGCACAACGAGGAGGCCTTCCAGCACGGCATCCACTTCCAGGCCAAGGTGAGCCCCGGACGCGCTCCCCCAGCCCCGGGCGGCGGCGGGTACGGTGGGGACCTCAGTCTGGGGGTGCAGCGCGGCTCCTACCCGGCTGTCAGAGCCCCTGGTCCCGTCCGGGCTCCGGGGGCCTCTTCGGCAGAGGCGCCCCGGGCAGCCCCTGCAGCGCTGGGCTCTCTGTGCCCTCACCCGTTGCAGAGCAGCCCCGGGCATTGGGTCCCTGCGGGCCGGTCCTAGGCACCTGCTGGCCATGGGCCGATGGCCCCATAGGCTCAGCCCGGGGCTCGCTGTGCCCCCTCCAACCATGCCCACCGTGCGTTCTTCAGCTCCGCCGGTGCCAGGTGTAAGGAATTCTAAAGAAAACGTCAATAAATTAGCAAAGCCTTACACTTTAGCACAATCAAACAGGTTCTTCTCCTAGTATTTTTCCATCTGTTTATCCTTATAAACTGCCTTGTGCATTTCATTTGAGAACTGATCTGGAAAGACCCCTCTTGACAGCCCAATGGACACTGCCTGTGGTATGGACACTGCTCGACCTGGTGCCTGTCATCACTTGGATAGGACCCTGTTCCTACTGCAGTGAGTGACAGCTCTGTATTCCCCTGGAAACCAGCAGGCTGTTATGTGCTGCTTAAAACCATGCTAGTGCCTTATTCCATCCAACCTGCTCATTGCATGGGAAGCTGTGCAGGTCCTCGTTTAAATGCAGTCTTCAGATATCAGAAACACTGAATAGTCATAAATTGATTCTATATTGATCATGAGCGGTCTGGCAGCATCACTCTCAGAAAGTGCCTCCATTGGAATTGACATTCTGGAGACAGTGCAGGGTTTATAATTCAGCTGACAAGAAGAACTGCATTTTGCTGGAGCAACTCTAGGGTTCCCTTTCCCTCTTTGAAGGTGGCCTAGCACAGATTAGAAATGGAATTCATGCCTGCTATCTCCTGAGCTGCAAAGAAGGGGCATATATATTCAAATAAAGCTTTGAAATGAGGATTTTGTGTGGTTTGGTTTTCCTGCTAAGAGCTGTAAGATTTAAGCAGGTTGGAGGATGGATCTGAACGGACAGTTAATCACATTTTAATAATAGCTCTCTTCCTTAGGGGAGAAGAACAATTTATCTTTGATTTCTTTATTTTAAACTAAGATTTGCTGTGCTGAGGAGAAGAAAACTCCTCATTTTGATTTTTAAAACACGTGAAGCAACTGTACCTTCAACTGAGTGGAACTGGCTTCTTCAGATTGACAGCTTCAGGCAGCCAGAGCTGTTCAGAAAGTGGCTACCACGCTGTTAAGATGTGTGGGTCTGAGATGGGGTTTGCATTAGCTCAGTAGCACGCTTGCTCAGTTCTGCTCTAAAATCTGACTCTTCCAATTAGGACGTGCATTGTGGACACATCACTCAGCCACAACTGACAATGACAGGGCTGTAACTGGTGCCAGGTGTCTCGCACCAGGCAATCTTAGTGACCACATTTAGTCTCTAATCTCCACATACCAAACTGCCTTACTTGCCCTATAATCTTCAGGGACAAACTTGAGGAGGTCAGTACTGGGAGCTGCTTGTGGAGAGGTGGCTGTTTGCGCCATGCTTCACAAGCAGGAAGGGTTCTGCATGGGAGCACAAGGACCCAAACTGCAGCAAGGCCAAAGCAGGGGGGTTTGGAGGATGTCCTCTTGTCCCAACCTATCAATTTAGCTTTGGTAGCATGGCCTGTTCCCCACTTCAGCCCCGTTTGCAGACAAAAAGCCAGCCAGCCACACTAAATTAATCTGGATTACCTGAGACTGCACTGACAGCCACTGCAGAGCAGGGAAGGAGATGCCTGCCAACCAAAGAGACCTCAGATTGGGAGTGATATGGATATGTCCTCACCACCAGGGCAGAGGGAAATCCTGGCTCAATCACTCCCTTCCCCACTGCCCTCAAGCTTTCATGGGCAGAGCGGTTTGACTCTGCTGTGGTTTACCAAAGGCTACAGCTGAACTTAACTGCTCTTAAAAATGCCATTTTGCAAAGGCATTTACAGAAGCATCAGGAAAGCCCGATGACCTTTCAGATTGCTTGTGGTGTTTATTTCAAGGCAGGCAGAAGAGCAGTAAATACTGAGCCAGGAGAACTCTGAAAGCCCTTTTAAGCAGAAGTTTTTAAAGATGAAACACATTGCAAGCCACAAGCATTAGAGAAATAAAACCAGAACTATGTCAGGAACAGTGATAGCAATGGGGGGAGTATTGTATCTCTGTTCATGTGTCTGATCAGCTGCCCTTTCTCCTCCTCCCCTCTCCATAGGGGAGCAACTTCCAAAACCCCCCATAACTGGAAAGCACACACTCAAACCCCAGATGTGATTCATGAGCTAAATGCTCTTGAGAGCATTTGTAAGCCAAGTTTTGTAACCTGCCCTCTGCCTCCTCTGCTAAGCTGCCTGTGACAGCCATGCAGACATGGGCTGTGTTACACTGAGGGAGCTGGTGGATTCACCTGGGAGCACCCCAGCATGGAGTCCAGACCCTGCCCTCAGCACCAGCCCGTGCTGGCAGGACACTGACATTTCTCATCGGGCCACTCACCACCTCACTCAGGTGGCATTTTTCTTGCCCTCACCAACATGCCCTTGACATGCAGGTCTTTCCTCAGAGCTGTGAGCCGCAGCTTCACAACATTAGTGGCCTTTTGCTCCACACATGAGCTGGCTATCCAGGACACTGCATGTTTTCCTCATTCCCAAGGCTGAGCTGGCAGCTTTGTGCCTCCTCCACTTGGCAGTGGTGCAGGCAGCACTCTGTGCATCAGTACCACCTCCTGTCAGCAAGTGCACAACCAGAGCCTGCATTGGTACACAAGCATTACAACCCAGCGTAAGGGGGGAGTACAGGCAGCACAGGGAAGAACACACGGGAGGGAGAAACAGCAGCAGCAGGAAGCTGTCTGCCTGCAGGTCTTCCCTAACAACCCAAGTAGCATCAGCCGCACACAGCCATTGCGCACAGGAGAACAGGCGGCCGGCTGGCAGAAGCTGTAGGTGTAGTGAAGTGGTAGAGGCGGAGGTGCTGAGAACACACCATCTGCCCATGTCTCAGCCTCTGAGTAAAAGGCCCTGCTAGGACTGATGCTTACACTCACTTCAGTGCAGCACCCAATGCCAAGGGCAGTGCAATCACAGCTTAGTCAGGCAGCTTGTTTAGCATAGCAGCTCCCCTAAGCATAGTTAAAACCTAGTGGTGGAGGGTGCAGATTTGAGTGGGTTTACCAGGATTCTGCCGACAGCTGAGCTGGTCCAACCAAGCAGAGACAGTGGTGTCCAGAGGGAAGGTGGTCCAGATGAAAAAGACCAGAGTCATGAGCCTTTTACAGGAAAGGTAGTTGTGGCACATCCCGGCAGTTTCCCAACTCCTATGTGCTTTTAGCTCCGAGTCTTGTAAAAGCAGGTGTAGTGAGGAATGACAAAGGATGGACAGTCTCATTTTCAGACCCACAGAACTGTGACTTGATCAGCAACAGGCATTGCCCTGCAAAGCACTGGTAAAGGAGCATCCAGAGTCCGAATGGGGTCAGAAGCTCACACCCGACATTAGAGATCCATGAACTTCTCCCTGACTTTGATAACATTGCCCGCAACAGATATTCCTATTGTGTCCTAGGTCAAGAGGGCCTAACCAAACAAGGACTAAATGAGAGGTGGTGTTTGTTCAGAAGAAGCCTCCACCATTAACTTGTGCATTGCTTTACAGACATCTCACTGTTGTGTCTTGCAGTACATCGGTAGCTTGGACGTACCCAGGCCCAACAGCCGCGTGGAGATTGTGGCAGCCATGAGAAGGATTCGGGTAAGTTCAAAAGAGCTGAACCCACATGGAATAAAAGGTTACATTCACTGGAGTGACTTGGTTGCAGTGCACTGTTCTACATCCCCCTTCCCCAGCCTTCCTGTCTGGAGCTCAAATCTCAGCACAGTCAGGATTGTAACAGGCTGCTCCAGAAATTCCCAAGGCATCTCAGGATAGACCCGTCCCCAGCTCTTTGCAAAGGGATCAGTTAGCAAAACTCAAATAGCAAACCCTAGCCTGTGCTGAGAAGGTATGGGGATTCTCCTTGAACCTAAGAGATTTATTTAGCCTGTTTGGGTTTTTATGTGTGTGAAAAATAAGATGTACACACAGTGTGCTCCACAAAAACATTTGTATTCATTGCTGGTTCCAAATATGTTATATATTGAAATACCTGGCAGATGCGATGGATGTAAATCCCATCAGACTAGACTTTGTGGATTCTGCTGCTCATGGAATAATTTGCCGTTCTCCCACATCCCCCAGTATAGTTTTACAGTTCCTGTTTCTCATCATAAAATCTGCACTCTTCCTCCTGTAGCCTTTTATTCTTCAGAGCAGGCTGTGAATGGTCATCAGATTGAGCTACCATTAGCAGGGTGAGCTAACTTACATCTGCTTCACGTATAACCAGTTCAAGCATATGTACCCCAAAAGGCAGTGCAGCTCCTGTGCCTGTCTGAAGTTTTGCAGGGGTCTTAATACTGAGGCTGTTCCTGTGTCTCACAGCAGCTAAAGCAGGTTTGAGAATCTTCCATTTAAAGCTTTGAAGGGATTATCCCGTTTCTCTCCCTCCCCCCATAGTATTTAACCCATCTAATTTTCATTTAGAATAGTGCTTTTTAAACTTAGCCTGTAACTGGCTGGGGAGCTGATGTATTCATCTCCAGCCAAGCTCAGAAATGACATTCCCCTGCCTTTGCCTGCTCAGACGATTAGCACAGCTCTTGCTCAGAACAAAGTGCAGCAGCAATCTAAATTGCCCTGGTTATTTATGGAACAGGTGAAGAGCTATAGGAAGGAAAGGCAAGAAGTGATGACTACCAGGGCAGTTTAGAAGCTGGCATAACAATTGGTAATTTTTGAACTGAATCAATATTTAGCATCAGATTTGACACTGCACTACTGATCTTGACTGATAACACCCTTGGAAGGAAAAGCAGACAGTGTTTTAATATCAGCTTCTGGAAAGTCTTGCATTCTGTTTTCACACCTGCTATTGCCGCAATGGTACCTAGCTCAGCCTTGGCAATGCAATAGCATGCTTGAGTGCTATATGACGCGTATAAGGAACCACTCTGCATTGGTGGATGCCATCAGTTAATCTTATCACACAATATTTTTAAAGCAGGCATCCTGTATTCTATACTGGGTTTTTAATCTTGGAAGCCCTTTCCAAAAAGGGAGGGCTTCCCTTTTCATGGGCGTATTGTACAGCAGGATCTTATTCAGACACTTCCTGGCTGCTGAGCGGAAGATGCTTCTCTATTGAAGATAGTTAATTGGCACTGATCCTTAATTAGAGCATAAAGAATGAACTGGGAGGTCTTTGAAGAGAATTCTAGTGCATAGAGTACACAACCTAGGAACTGAGGGAAGATGGGGGTTATTTATGTAGCATTCATTTACATGCAGAGGCCTTGTCTATACTAGAGCTTTTTCCCATGGACTCTCAGCGGCACCAGTTGCAACTGGGAGGAAACAGTGGAAGAAGCTATTGGTGGAAGCTAGTATTTTGCTACCATCTTATTGTGAGTGGTAGTGCCTGTTTGCACTGCAAGAGCAAGAAAGCTCCTGTGGCCCTGCCAAGTGTTGGCAGGAGCACATTGTGCTGAAGCTTTCATCCTTTGTGCATTCCAGTGTTCCACTGGAATTCTCTACTGGAGCGGAAGAGAAGTCGCCCAGTACAAGCCCCAGCACAACATTTCCTATGTGCTCTCTATGCCCTGCGACATGGGAGGAGGCAGCATGAGCCACCACTGGAGCAGTCGGTGATGGGGCCAGCCCACAGCACAGGCAGGTTGTTACTCATTGCTTCTGCTACTCTAGAAGAGAACCAGGGAGGAGGATGAGGAGTCACAGCTCTCTTTTCCAGGCTCTGACAGGGCTGGTTACTCTAGTTATTCATGAGTAAGTTGAGGCAAGCCCTGAAACTGCCTTCTTACTACCATGTCTGATTCTGGTCTCTAGTCTGGCTTCCCCAGGGAAAAAAACCTTGAGCTATCTAGCTCTAGTGTTGTTCTTGGAGTTTGAGAGGAGAGAGGGCTGTAAGTAGCAGCTCCAGTTGCTATTATCTACTCCTTGGCATATTACTGTCCTGTGTTTTGCACTGGGCTCTTTTGCCAGCTGCATATGGATTATGCCAGGGAAGCTGGGAGGTTCAGTGTTATTCTTTACTCTGCATTAGCAGAGCAGTAGGCTTGGAGACTGAAGACATGCAGAGCACGCAGGCTGTGGGACATCACTCCCAGAGAGCCTCAAATGACATGTTTTAACATTAGCCCGCTGAAATCAATCTGCTCTTTTGTGGTAGGTATTTAAGATGCACTCATACAGTAAAGCTTAAACCCATATTCCTGGCTGAATGGATGCTTGTAGAATCACTAGCAGTACTCCATTAGTCACACATTAGGTTCCCATTTCATAACAGACTGGAAAACCTTGTCTCATCATGCTCTATGCCTCCACTGAAGGGAATGCAGACTCAATAGATACAACAGGGAAGCTGCTGTTCTTCGCTTCCCATTATGCAGAGCTAGACAACTTGAAGTTTGCTAATCCTTCCAGTGGATTAGTAGCAGCATACAGCTTGTTATTATATGATCGTCAGAGTTCAAACTAATCCCTCTACTCCTCTTGCCCTGGCAGGGGAGGTGATGAAATTAGTTTGGTACTTGGATAAGCACTGTGTGCTCTGACAGGCACGTCAGGCTGCTCTTTATGAGCCCAACTCCTTGTGCAGGCAGGCGTTCCTCCACCTCCCAGGGAGAAGCCAGTCTGCCCTCTCCTGCTGCCTGAGGCCTGGGTCTGGGTGTCAGGCAGCTCACACTCCTGCATTCACAGCCAGTGTTCTGGTGGAGCTGGCTTTCTGCTGAAGTGGATTCATCTGCAGGTGTTTAAGGAGCTTATGTACAAGACGAGGTTTTTCTTCCTGCATAAGTGGCAGCTAAAGTGAGGAATGTGACAGTCCTCGAGGGTCCAGATGGCTTCCCAGTTCGGCAGAGTCACCCTTTCCCTTGACACACAACTCCTTTTGTGAGCAACTAACTAGCCCAGTTCCCCCCTTAGCCAGGTGAAGGCTCTCATGCAGTTTAAGAGGAAAGATATTGTGGAGCCCACACAGCCTGGAAACAGTAACAGGAGAGCTTTGCTAAAGATGCCTATGGGTACAGGCCTAGGGGTAAAGATGGGTTTTGTGAAACACAAAGCTCCTGAGGTTGCTTGGGAAATCGTGCCCTGGGAGACATCGTGGAATGGTTTGGATTGGAAAGGACCTCAAGATCATCCAGTTCCAACCCCCTGCCATGGGCAGGGACACCTCACACTAGAGCAGGTTGCTCAAGGCTCCATCCAGCCTGGCCTTGAACACTTCCAGGGATGAGGCAGTCACAGCTTCCTTGGACAACTTGTTCCAGCTCCTCACCACCCTCACAGGGAAGAATTTCTTCCTTATACTGAGCCTTCCTTATGTCTAACCTAAACTTCCCCTTTTTAAGCTTGAACCCATTACTCCTTGTCCTATTTATATGAAGGGTTAACATCACACGTCGTGCATCCATTCCCCAGAACTAGCACTGACCAGAGGAGAAGCAGTCAGCTGTTTCCTTCCTCAAGCAACACAACCTTCAGCCCAGGGCTTCAGAGCCAAACAGCCCTAGAGAAAAGCTGAAAAGCTGCTGTTCTGAGTGGTGAGTTGTACAAGGACACTGCAGGAGCAAGTGTCAAAGCCTGTCATCCCCACAGCCAGCCTGCTGGCTGCAATCCCCAAAGTCACTGCATTTAATTACCTTTAAGGCACAGAATCAGTTTCCCTGGAATTTGCACTTAAAGATTTGACAAAGCCTGAAAGTTTGAGGTCTGTTTGGAAGGTCTAGCTGGGACCCAAGCAGGCACTGACACTCAAAGGAGCCAGATGTTGGATTATTAAATCATTTCATAAGGGAACAGCCAACTGGTGCTTTGCTGATCCAAGCACCAGGATGAACAAACAAGAGGCAGGCACCCAGACTAATGTGTTTCTTCTGTTACCTCTGCATTTCTTAGGCTTAACTTAATCGAGAAGTCTTTTTCCCCAGAGGTTGGTGTACCAGAGAAGCAGAAACATTCCAAAATCTTGACACAGGATACATCTGAAATGCCCGAGTACTCCTTGGCATTAGAACTGGCATCTTACTTCAGCATCCCTCCTATCCTGATTGTTCTTGCTGCATGTAAGCTCTTAAGCAGAGCCTCACCTCTTTGCAGTTTCTCCACATGGTATTCCAGTGAGGAGGTGTAATCTAGCCACACTACAAGTCACGCTGACCGCCAAGTATCAACGGGTAGTCTTGAAGTGTGATATGACAGCAGTTTAAATCAGGATGAGTAAAAGTTACAGTCCTACCAGTGCAACCATGTGAAGCAGAGGAAGCAGCAGCAACAGAACCTGCCTCTCCTGCAGCTAGTCTGAGAGCTGGGCTGGCTTCATGCAGCAGCTTTCACTTACAGCCAGCCCAGGCTAAAAACTGCAACAGTTCAGGAGCAAATATGGGTATCATTTATCTGCTCCTGCTACAGGAGAGGAACCAGGTAGATAGCTGGCACAGAGCAGGGTGACTGCCTCCAGCCATCTCAGCTTAATTTATCACTGTGTGGCAGACTTCAGAGGTGCTTAATAGACTTGTTCATGAGATCCTTCTAGAACACAGTTCCTTCAGTTCTCCCAGGCAGCCTTCTTATTACAGAAGAGAAGCTCACCAAGCTAACCACTGCACAGATTCCTCTCATACATTCTGCCTGTA